AATATTTAGTTTTAATATCATATGCAAATAAAAATATAAACTTTAGTTAAGTCTCAAGCATCATTACTGAAACCAGGAAACTTTTTAAAAAGCAAGAATATTTAAGAACTCATTTTATAAACTGAAACTGGTACAAAGAATGAATAGTCAATGTCAAATGATATGTCACATTTTATTATTTTTAATTCCCAAGCCATCAAAGTATTAGATCATGTAACAGAGTTTGATTTTTATGAAGACATTTAAAATCACTGCTTTCTAAAAGAGAAAATAGTTTTAAGTTAGTAACTATTTTTCTCAGTTAAAGTAAAGAATTGTATCAATTATCCCTACCATTTTGCTAAACAAAAATCAGTAATTGAAGAAAACTGGAAGTTTGCCACTGAGCTGCCATGATTTTTGTTTTATTTTGCTTATATTAATGTGACTTGAGGAATGTATTTACACAAAGACATTAACCAGTTGTACACGCTTATCTTTTAACCAATCTCTCCCCATAGAAAATGACATATAAATCAAACCAAATGAAAAACATGTGTTTCTAACAGTTTATTATTGGAAACTGCTCATACAGATAGTGCCTGGTAGACTGCAAGCTTCCTGAGGGACAAGGCCATGCCTGGCTTCTTTTCTGACACATAAATTACATATCACAAAGCACTTGATAGACGGTAAACCCTAGTGAATATTTATAGAATTTAATAACATTTTCATAATAGAATAAATAGCAAATTACCCACATATTTGCTATATCACAGTTTGTAATGTTTATGTTACATGTCTCTTTCCCATTCACTGTTATTCACTTTGCTCATCTTTGCTTAAATCAGTTATCATTGAAAGGCATGATGAATATTATTTACAACTCTTAAGACTCAATGACATACAAATACCTATCCCATTGAAGTAGAGAGTTGAAATTATTATAACCCTAAACCAGTTGCTCTCAAAGTGTATTTCCCTAGACCAACAGTATGAGCATCACCTGGGAACTTGTTAGAAATGCAGATGCAGCCGGCGCGGTGGCTCACGCCTGTAATCCTAGCTCTCTGGGAGGCCAAGACGGGCGGATTGTTTGAGCTCAGGAGTTCAAAATCAGCCTGAGCAAGAGCGAGACCCCGTCTCTACTAAAATAGAAAAAATTAGCCGGGCATGGTGGCGCATGCCTGTAGTCCCAGCTACTCGGGAGGCTGAGGCAGGAGGATCGCTCGAGCCCAGGAATTTGAGGTTGCTGTGAGCGAGGATGATGCCACGGCACTCTAGCCTGGGCAAGACAGTGAGACTCTGTCTCAAAAAAAAAAAAAAAGAAATGCAGATGCTTAGGCCTAATCCCATTTGTATTGAATCAGAAACTCTGGGGACTTGGCCTCACAATCTGAATTGTATCATGGTGTCTAGTGATTCTGATGCACGCTCAAGTCTGAGAACCACTGCACTGAACAATGAAGAAGGAGCAGTGGATTGTCATTCATTTAATTGGAGCTTCTCACATCCTTTACTTCAGTTGCTCTATTTTTATACCAAAGATGAGAAATATTAGGTATGGAAAATTTCATATAGTTTTAGTAATATGGGTTTCTTAATTTTCCTGTGTTATTTGTAAAATTATTAAGTAAAAATGTTCAAACAATTTGTAATGGCTTTCATATTTACGGAATAAACCAGTGTTGGACATTGAAGTTAATTTTCCCTTTATCCTATCACAGTCACTTGTACTTTTCCTTTTGATTTCAAATTATTTTTTAAACATTTTATCCATATCCTGATGCATATCTTTCCTTATATGCATGTAAATATATATGTGTTTCTTTCAACAACCCCAAGTAATGTGATCATTATATTGAATGTAATAGTCTGGAGGCGAGATAATTGCTGCTTAATTGAGCGCAAGAGATGTGGAGAGGAGGAAGAATAGGAAAAAGAGGAGGGTAAGAAAAGGGGGAAGGAGGAGGGACACAGGGAGAGAAAGGGGAGGAGAGAGAGATAGAGGAAGGAGAAAAGAAAGAGAAAAGAAGCAGGAGAGGGATAAGTAGAGAAGGCAAAATAAGATTTACGTTTGACATTGTGTATAAAAAGAACATAGGATTAAACCTAGTGTTGATGCAGTGCTTAAATTTTTTTTGTTTGTTTTGCTTTTATTATTTTTTAGATGGTTATTTTAAAAATCTGGATTACAAGGTGGCCAATAAAAAACTAAATGGAGTCTTTAAAAAGGAGTCAATATTTAGAAAGGAGAATCTATTTACTGACTTTAAAAGCTTTAAAAATATATAACTAAAACATCCTGACTTGTATTAATAAGTTTTAAAAGTACCTAGAACAATTTAATAATTTCATTTGTGAACAATCAACTTTCCCTAAATCTGTAAATTTCTACTTCACTTCCAGAGATATGAGCAGGAATATGTAGCAAATATTCTATATGTGGAAAAGACAGTAATGAGAAGGACCACAGGCTGCTTTGACACTTCTAGATTTAGTCTCTGGATTCACATGTTAACCATCTGGTCAGAAAGTTCATAACTTATTTTGGTCATCCAAGAATACACAAAGCTCAAAGGTTAAAAAAACTCCTTGGTCTTTCAAAAATATATTTTCACAAATTATGGGTACTTGGATAGCACCTGAAAACATGAAGTATCTATGATAATAAGGAAGTAAAAAGTTATTTACCTGGAAGTTGTAAACACTCCATATACAATTGGATTTTTAGGATCTTTAGAGTTCATTAGGAATACATCCTCTGTTTAAAACAAAATTGGGGAAAGTTGCATTTTTGACGTATATGGTAAAGTCTGAACAAATGTTCTCTATACAAAAACACTAGCTACTTACGTAATTCATCAAAATGAGTGTCAATGCCATTGGGACCTGGCACTGAGCAAATCAGACGAGCTTTGAGGAACGTTGTCCATTTATTCACCAGACTTCTGTGCCCTCCGAAGTCATTCTGAAAAGAGAGAACACCAGTGTTAGGTACAGTGAATGCAAATGATAATTTCAAATATTTCTCTTTTCTTCATATCTTGAGACAAATATAAGATGCAATTTTTTGTTTTTCAAAAGTTCTACAATCATTTTAAATAATTAGACATAAGTACCTCACTTATTATTAAATTATTGGTAAAATCATTCACTCAAATTTTATTCAAGGGACTACTCATAATAAATATGCCTCAAAAAATCACTTCATCAACAGATGAATGGATAAAGAAAATGTGGAATATATAAAAATGGACTATAATTCAGTC